GTACACAAAATGTACCTACGTACATATGTATGTACAGTCATGTGAAAAATAATAGGTACACGGCATATTGACCATTATTGACTACTTTCCTTTTGTTTGTTTAATGTTTGTTATTTAAAAAAAAGCGTTGTAAAATATAGATCCTTGAGTTTACAAGTGATTGCAACCTTTAAAAAAATATGAAAAAATTAACTAAAGTTTACCTCAACAATAAACTTGTTAAGAATTTTTAGAAAAATTTTGAGTATGTAGCAAATTCCAGCGAAGTTTCAAGTGGCTAAGAATTCGTGTCCTATTATTTTTCACATGACTGTACGTATGTACAAATGCTATACGTATGTATGAATGAATGTGAATATTTGTATTGTGTGTTTACTTTCTTTTTATGTTTTGGTTTTTGTGCTCGGCGGCCGTTTCACGCGAAATAAAGGCAAACAAAACGACTAGCTAAGAGGAGGCAGCATCAGCAGCACCATCNGTGTGTGCCTTTCTCGATGCGTGCGTTTTGCACAAAATCATCAGGGAATTACGTAGAGGAAATGAGGCACAAAGTGTGTACTACAAGGCTAACAGAGCAAAAAAAGTATGCATAGAATTTAACATGAACTAAAGGGATCGCTATGTGTACGTTCCGGGAAGTATACATACCTATGTGGCTGCTCAAACCATAAAGGAGAGAATACTTAAAACACTTTATTGCCATTATTGGTAGAGCACTGCTGCACAGTGATTTAGACTTTTCCTGGCATGTATGTATGTAGGGCACTGAATTTTTATTATTTTTTTGTGAGTAGATACTGGCGGTAAGACATACAGCTACCGATTTTACAATGCTGACCTCTGCAGGAATCTTTTCCCCACTTAACACATCCAGCATTTGTGCCGGCTAAGCATCAAGATCGCCGACCTCAGCCAGCATACATTGACCACGACCCAACCCAAAGTTATATTCCCCATACCTCATTGGCCAAGAGAATGATGAGCGTTAACTAGCAGGCCGAACTCCTTCCTTCCCATAATCGATCCCGTCTTACGGTAAAAATTACGACGAAAGAAGTTCTGTCCCACTTCTCCGGGCAATACAGAAAGGAGAATTCTGAGTGGTAAGCGTTATAATCCGAAGGCCGCCTATGCAGAAAGAAGTTCTGTCTCTCTTTCTCCGGCAACCCATAATCCACGTAATTTTACCGTAGATCCACGGTAAAAATTACCGTAGATCTACGGTAAAAGTCACCGTGGCGCGTGTGTGTAGACACTACCTAATAAAAAGGCGCTTACATTTACAGAATTTTACTGTTACATGGTGAAACCGTTTGTGTTACACAAAAAAAAAAAAAAAATGGGACAATTTTTTCAGACCCTACCATGAATTGAATACTATTTTAAAACACGGTTACTTTCAAAGTAACAGTGACACTGTGCGAATAATAATCGCCTCGGGTTTCCTTTTCCCCTTTCCATGTCGCTTTTGTATTAACCATGGTTTTGTGGGCGCACAAAGCTATTAAGTCCTTGTCCGCACATACATGTATACACGCATATTTATTTGCCTTTCCCCTTTTTCACTGGAATTGTGCTTTGTTATTTGTATTTCTTCCTTACGCCCCTATGCTTTCGTACTGGCTTCTCCTTGCGCATGAATTGCCTTTGCCTTGGTGAATGTTTTTTGTGCCTTGACGTGTTTACGAATTTTTTTTTATTTATTTTATTTTTTTTTTGCGTACTGCCTGTTCGAAAAGTATGACTCCGCGCTTTAATTATACTACTTACTTTGATAGTGATTAATTGCCTTAATTAATCTATGCTCTGTATGTTGTCATTTTTCTTCAACTCAAGCGTTTCTTTCATCTGCCCTGCATTTCTTTTACAGCGACTTATACCTACGCTTTTCATCAACATCTTATTTTGTATTAAGTAAAAGGCTTTCTGCTGCCTCATGCTGCTTGCCAACACATTGAATATTAAACATGCTTACTGATTTCCCTTTGTATTTGTTCTTTTCCTGCTTTGCAGATTAAAGTTGGAGTGCGAAAAGCTTGCCAATGAGAAAACCGAAATGCAGCGCCATTATGTTATGGTAATTTCTAAACTACATGAAAAATTGGTTATGCTATATTTATATTTTTTATAAACATGTTTTTTTTTTAATAATACTTTTTTCCTCAATTTACCTTTCAGTACTACGAGATGTCATATGGCCTTAATGTTGAAATGCACAAACAGGTAATTTCCTCTTACACAAATAAATACAAACAAACACATTTAAAATACACCAGCTCATTCAATAAACACATCCCTCCTGCCTCGCCGCTTTACTGCTTGCCTGCCTGCCACTTCCTCACTGCTCGCAAACAATGTCGGCAAAGGTAAAGTAAAGATGCAAAGCCGTAGCGGTGTGGTCGTCGAGTGCAACGAGGCAGGCGGAAAAACGAGTGCTGAAGGGCGCGCACACTCCTGTCGGCGCTTTCGTGCAGCAAGAAATTAAGCCACAATTACATAAATATATGTACACAAACATTGTTTGCTACAAACGCCTATATTTACACAGTCTAGCATATAAAAAGTCATTTAATGTGTTTTTGCCCTTTTTTCGCCTTATAATTTGTTCTCATTTGTTTTTTCTTTTTTCTTTACCTTTTTCTATGCACGCTCGCTTTCCGCCCGAACAACGTAAACAATGAAATAAAAATAAAAAAAACATTACACAAAAATGTATCGCCTGCAACTATATAAAATCGTTTGTTTGTTCAATCGCTTACTTGTCCAACTTCTCATCCTGCGCCANACATCGTTTGTTTGTTCAATCGCTTACTTGTCCAACTTCTCATCCTGCGCCACAGACGGAAATTGCCAAGCGTTTGAATACTTTGATAAATCAGCTGCTACCATTTTTACAAGCCGATCATCAACAGCAGGTCTTAAATGCCGTGGAGCGCGCGAAACAAGTTACAATGCAAGAATTAAATCTAATCATCGGGGTAAGTTTTATTGTGTTACACCTTTCTTCTTTTCGTTTCTACACTTCATCATCATTCTACATTACTCGCTCTTAATGATGTTACTGCAATTAATACCTTAAGCGTATTAAAGCGCATAAATCTCAGTTATTTCGTTGTAATATAATATTTTGTAATCATGATGTGAATGCACAGCACGCTCAAGAGGTTAAAGAGATGCGTACATTTTTTGATCACAGCAAGATATTTTAATTACCCAGTGTTCCTTTTTTTTTTTTGATAGTTTCCATGTTTTTTAGCTGAATTGTATTATGCCTCACTTTTGTAACAATAAAAGTCGAGTCTATAAAAATCTGGCATTACCCCGCACTCACAATCCATAATCGAATAGTTTCGAGGTTTAAATAACTAACTCATAATGCACTAGTTTTTACTAGAGACCTACCTACACCGCTAGCGCGCTAGTTAGCATTTGTCTGCCAATAATTATATTAGGTCAGGAAAGGTAAGGTAAGACAATGTAAGATTGTTCTTTGTGATACCACAATAATTATGTATTATGCTGTGGTCTCCTATTCATTTTCAAATTTGAAAAAATTTCGGTTCTGCTGTTGTTGTTGTAGCGGCTACAACAACCCCGCCTCGATCGGTTAATATCTCAGTCATTGTCGTCAAGTAAAGGGGCTGTTGTTTCGACTAACTAACCCCGTTTAGGTCAGCGAAGTATCTCAGAAAAATTTTCTGTGAACTCATTCGCTATTTATGTATGTATATATTTACACACCCTCCAATACCCGCTTGCTTTGCGGCGCATTAGAACAAAATTCGAACTGTAAAACACTTCGGTACCATCTACCTTCCACGTCCATTTTTGGTAGGTTGATTTCTCTTTATATTTGTAAAACGTGTACCGTATTTCAATCAAGTCGGACAATAAACACTGTCAATGTCAAGCCCCCCTTTTCCATAAACCTCACAGTTCTTTTGCCATGAAAAGTATTCTATATGTTAATCCAGATAATAACCTATCATTCCAATCCGTTCAACCGTTTCAATGGAGAGATAAATACTAAAATGGGCCACAATCAGAGTTTTAGTTAAAGGAACATATGTACATACAAATCTTATTTGGTACTGCAACCTTTGTCGTTTTGGCCCGAGTACAAAATATTTCGCTAATTGCCCCTCTCCTTTGCAAATTTGTGCCAGTTGTTCATCCCAAGTGCAGACAGGTCCTTCTGCACTTAGTCCTTCGCAATCGTATTTTTTTACACTTAACTATGCCGAGATCGTTCAAATGCTCATACAGACCGACGCTGTATAGCCATATGTATTCGATTGTCTAAAACCTCACTTGGTCTCGAAACGGCGCGGAGAGGTCCCTCCCAAATTGAACTGAGCTGAAGGATGCGCTCTTCGCAACTCTAACGATCAATATGTAAATGTAATGAGTTCAAGGAAAGGTTTTCGTTGCAAATATAGTAAGCTTTTGATTATTTCATAATAATCATATGTTTGTGAATTTTATAATTGCACAGTTTTTCTAAAATAGTACTTATTGTCTTTAATTTATTTCTATTTGTGTTGACAAGATTGTCGTCTATTCACTAAAAAATGTAAATCCCCAGCTTGCAAATAAAAACAATATCGTTAACAGTCTTCTTCTTCTTACTATGTTACCAACAACAAAGATAAGATATGAGATATTCTTTTCTGATCACCTTACATTTTTTAGATTGTTAAAGAGGATCTTGAAGTAGAAAATATGTAAAATGTTTCCCAGGTCCCATCGTGGAGATGTAAAATGTTTCGAAAGAATACAAAATAATTTAGTTTCTTACTGATAAATAGTATTAAAGTCGCATGTCTCTGCTAAAACTTATTCAATGAAACCTTTTGAAAGGTGGAAGGATAGTCCTTAAAACATGTTATAGAAAAAGCAAGTAAAATTTATTAGTCAGTCGTCATTACCAGAAGTTGTTGCACCATAGCGATTCCCCACAGACGATCGTTAAGGCTACGTAGACCCAATTGCCATCGAAACGTTGATAAACCAGTTGTGAAAACCAAATTCATGAAAAGCTCAACACACATCTTAACTCTCTCGGCCAAAAATTTAAAGAGCTCGCCTGGGCAGTTTAGATACATATTCCGAACGATAAATGACACTGAAGATGGTACAACGCCGAAACCGGTTTGTCTCCAAACCAAATTTGACAAGGGATGACGGAAATTCGTTCCATAATACATCATACACCCACCCTGTCGGAAACAACAACAACCAAAAAGGAAATACCTATGACCCATGTAGCCCGGACCTTGCCTCGCGCGACTATTATTTGTTTCAGCTTTAATACATACTTTTGAAATTTAGTTAGTTATATTTTCGCCTCGAATTCGTGGAAGTTATACAATGGCGAGATTCACAGTTAACCAGAAAAGTAGCTAAAGGTCATTGATCAAAGGAGTTTTTGATTTTATTAAGCATATATCTGCATTTCTCAACATTGATCTTAATTACAAAATAAATTCGTCCCCTCGAGCTTCTAAAACGAACCTCTGAATAAATGGGACGATTATGAATTGCAGCGGCACCTCAAATGGGTTGCCTATGGGCAACGCTACTGAAAGGAAAATGTATATTATGAATAGCAACTAAAGTTAAAATCAAGTTCGATTGCTATTCGTAATCGACCCATAAGATTTCTATAAAAGCTAGGTGTAAAAAGTGCATAACTCTTGTATAGAAAAAATCTCATACTTTTTTGATATGACTTATGAGAAAAAGAAAAAATTCGAACCTCCATTTAAGTATAATTTCTAGGTTATCATCATAACATGTAATATTTTATGTATTTATTGGCCGTTACTAAGCTTACTTTTCTGTTTGTTGTATGTATGCATTTGGAGAAAAAGATAAATAAAAATATCAAAAGTGTAATTGGTTTGACAGCGGATTTTTGATTAGTTTTGCGAAATTGCCTATGGTAAACTTTGTTGAATTTCTTCCGTTTTATTGTTAGCCTATTACCGATTTGCTAAAAACAAGTAACCCATTATGGGTATTCATACAAACGCTTAAATGCCAGGTAACCGCGTAAGCCTTGTTAATAAACCAGTTTTTCATATAAAATTAAGTAAGTTTACAAGGTTGACGCGGTTACGAGGCATTTATGCATTGGATGCGCAGCAACACAATTATGACTTGTTTTAACCCTTATCGAGTGCTAATGTGCCCATATTGCCCAAGGATGTTATAGATGGAATATTTGCGTCATATTTTACCATTTTTTGGAAATAAATTGAAAAATAAATTAAAAATTTAAATGCATAAATCGTATATTTAGGGGATTCACAAGACGTCTTAAGCGTTGTAACGTAAAATAACTTATAATGTTTTTACGGAATTTTTACAAAAACAACACCAAAATGTTTAAAATTATACGAATTTAATTTTGAGGCTAAGACGTCTTGTGATTCCCCTAATTATATACAGAGTACACGATAAGGGTTAACTCAAATGTGTATGCAAACAAATTTTGTGAAAAAATTTAATTGACAAGTCATTAAGAAATTTTTTATTCAGGGATATTAACGCATTATTATTTAAAAATGACTTATTAAAACTTTCCGTCAATGAATTACAAAGCGAATTGTTTGCCAATTTCTTACTTATTTGTTTACACTTTTNGAAATGACTTATTAAACTTTCCGTCAATGCATTACAAAGCGAATTGTTTGCCAATTTCTTACTTATTTGTTTACACTTTTTTTAATAAACATATTCTAATACTTAATTTCTTTTTCATTTTATTTTATGCTCACTTTCATTCAAAAAATAAAAAAAAACCAATGCAACAAAAATTGACTATTAAAAAAATATATAAATTCTTCATACACATCAATTTGTTTGATGTTGCAACGCGCAGCATCAGCATCAGGGAATTCAACAACTTCTAGTAAGTTCCTTTTTCACTTTCTAAATACATTTATTACTGCTATTTCTCCACCACTAGTTTTATTAATCTAATGCTCAGTTACTTGTTCGGCGTTTCTGTCCTAAATTTTTATTATTTTATTATTTTTCCCCTAACAATTTCATGTTAACAATTAACATAAAAAAACTATTTTGCATATAGACATTGTTACCGCATTTTATGAAACAATAATATATAATCTGAAACGTTTAAATTTTGTCCTGTCGTGTGCATTCATGCCCGTGCGCGTTCGTTCGTTTGTTACTCGCCGTAATCGTTAGTTAATAACGATAGCACATACGCCGTTAATCGTTTAAGCTTCTTGCTTTTGAAAATATTCTCATATTGGTTATGTCTTTCTGCTAATTTCTGTTTTAATCAGCCTTATCGTGAATTCCTTAAGAATTAGGTTTCACAAAAAAAAAAAAAAAAACTTTCCAAATCTGTTTTTATTTTGCTTTTGAATTTATGGGAGCAGTTTATTCGGTTTGAATTGGCGATAAGGATGTTTCATCTCTTACGATTTTCTTGTTTTTATGTGTGTTTGTTCGCTTGCATACTTTGGCCTTATGTCTAACATGTAAATTAAAAAAAAAAAACTCTTTTTTCGACTCATGGTACATTTCGTGGCTTTTCTTTCTTTACAACAACAATTTTCGAAGTAGTTATTTTTCCAAATTATTTTCCGATTCGCGCAGTAGTGTTTTAGGTTTTATTATAGACACCATTAGTCTAGCTGTTATAATAAGAGCATACTTATATATGCTCCATCGATTTTGGTCTGTTCTGAGCAATTGTCTCTCTAAATTTGATTCGGCATATTCTATGAAGACGCAATCAAAAGAGATGTTGTAGAATCAGCTATTCTTGTCTTCGGTTTCTACCCTAATTTATAAAGAAAAGCTTTGAATCTTCTGAAGTCCTACTTATCCACTGAGTCCCTCGGTTTGGGAAAAATGTACTGCTCTCAATGCTGCTGGTGAATGTAGTGAAATTAGGGAAGTAACCATGAACCTCGAAATATTTTAGTGTGTATATTTTTTTCTTAAATTTCATCTATTCAGAAAGTGTTTGCATTTGCCTTTTTTTTGTACTTTTGTTTCGATTTCCTCTTTCCTATATCTTTATTCTAGCTCTGGATCTTTTTTATAAGTACTCAGTTTTTCGGTAATATTTTCCCGTCTTCAGTTGTATATTTTGTTTGTATTGAATTATATTTGCTTTGCATGGCATTACGCTTTTGTGCTTGGCGCTCTCAGCTTTTGCTATTCATCTACCCGTGTGGACTTATCCTTTTTCAGTTAAACGTTAGTGGAAATTATAAAATTGTTTTTATGGTTCTTGGAATTGTTAGTTAAAAATTCTGCTGTCAAATCGCTATATTTTATACAAATTATATTTGCAATTGAATTAAAGAAAAAATGCAGAATACTGAATGTTTGGAGATACATATGTATACATACATCAAATCTTTTAATGCTTATTAGATTACACTTTGTTAAGTCATATTTTAACTTTCTTTAAAGTTTATAATTGCTTTTAGTTATACGCAAATCAATAAAGAGGAAAAAAGATACCATACGCTGCAACCGTTTTTTTTTTTTAATTTCGCTGCCCTAACTGAGTGAAGGATTTTTTTTTTTTTGAACAAATGTTATATCGAATATCCAATTGGCATTGAAATTACAAGATATTTTTGCCACTTACTATTTTATTAACGTAATGGCACGTGCAATTTGGAGTGTCCCACTATGTCTGAAACATTTTTTTTTTTCAACTGAATGTCCAGTGGAAATCCCTTATTACAAAACGTGCAAAAATATGTGTGTAGGATATCGGAGAATATATATTATTTTAAAATGCCATTGACCTAATAATTTGATATGAACATGACCCTAAATCGCGCAATTTGGGCATTATTCTCAGTTTCGGCTGATATTGTGGTAGGATCTCAATTTGGTCATACACAAAACTGTTACCTGAAATTCGGCTCGAATTGAGGACATTGTGAACTCAATTTCAAATGAAATATATTTTAACGACATTTTTTATATATATTTTTTTTATTTTAATGCCTAGTGAAAACTAGGCATAAGCGTTATTGTGAATGATGCTGAAGAAAGGTTTGCGGCTAATAAACAACGCAAAAAAACTTGTTCTAAACAAAAAAAAAAATGAAATCAAATATTCGTTAAAAACAATAAAGAACACAGATTAGCTTATATTTTGAATTTGCTAAGGGATCAGCAGAGAATCAAAGAAAGCCTTAAGCTGCAGTGCGCACAAACTTTCAAATTCAAATTTCAGATGGGAATTGAGAATCGAAATTGCGCAATTCGGGGATAATAGAAACACACTTCTAGCTTTTTGAATACATATGTGGATTTTGTGAAAACTAGATTTACTTAGAAGTTATCGGCTTAATTTTTACATAACTTGAATTTGAATGGGCTAACAAAAACTCGTTGAAATTATTATTTTTTTTTTATAAATTAGGCTCTCTAATAAATTAATTTTTTCCTCTTAATATTTTTAATTGAATGAATTCTTATTGTTTGAATACCCTCAGTTAAAACGTATCCTTTATATTTCTCGTGTTGCATAAAAGAGGGTTTAATTTATTCCATAGAAACTTAAAATACAGGAATTTCAAATTTTCATAAATTTCTTTGCCATCATCGCGCTACGCTTGTTTATCTCGCCGTCATTTAACTTCGTGGAACAAAAAAAAAATAACCTTAAATCTGCCATACTCTGCCGTCCATCACCATTGGTTCGTTGTTTGTTAACTCTTTTTGAATGTGTGTTTTTTGAGCTCTTGTTTAATGAATTTCTTTAATTTAAAACTTTTTCTATGCTTAACCCAAAATATACGTATTTTAAAGCAGCTTAGTAAAAGCAATTATAAATGAATACTCCAATTAAAATAAGCTAATAATAACATCTTTCACTTTCTATCTTTCTCACTTGCATGCTCCGTTGACATTGCTTCCGCATATGCAGCAGCAAATACATGCACAACAAGTGCCCGGTGGCCCGCCACAACCGATGGCTGGCTTAGCGCCATTAGCTGGCCCATTTGGTGCTCTGGGCGCTTCCATGGGTTTACCACATGCGCCACAAGGCCTGCTGAAAGCACCAACAGATCATCATCGTCCCGACATTAAACCAACCGGACTGGATGGACCAGCTGGCGCTGAAGAACGTTTGGTAAGTGTACTATGTTTATAATATATTTATTTGTAAGATTCCCTCTTGTTTAATATACACATATTTTCGTTATTTCTTAACCGCAGCGCAATTCAGTGTCACCAGCTGATCGCGAGAAATATCGTACACGTTCACCATTGGACATCGAAAATGATGCGAAGCGTCGAAAAGACGAAAAACTACAAGTGAGTACATATGTACATACATAGTTATAGTGTTTATGCCACAAAGGCTTAGCTGGCAAGGCGAACGCGCGAAATTAGCAATGCAATTGTGTAATTGTGCATAAATGATTATGTATTTGTCTATTACGAAGCAATATTAATCGCCCTCTGTATGTACCTAATATTAATCTAAGTTTATTAATATCTACGTATTACCAAAATCAAAACTTCACTATCGTATTACTACCTACAACATCAAAAAACACCACCACCACACTGTCCTGCTCGCCTAGACAAGTTTATAAACTTTTTTTTTTTTGACATTTAAACAATTATAAATAAATATGCGTTTGTGAGCGTCAATTAAAGGCGCTAATGAAATGCTTATACACTTTGGCTTTGGTTAATTTATATATTTGTATCAGTTCAGTCACAAATGAATGATTACAAAACTGTATTGTTCTTTTGTATTGGCATACTTGCTACAATGTATGAATTGTTATTGCCAAAGAATATATGTAATAAGCAAATATTGAAGTAAATTGTAAACAAATGTGCCTTCAGGCATAACTAATGTAAGCCACACATAAGAAAATTAGTTGCTAAATTTATTTGCAGTAAAATTGTAAAACTCAACTCACCATAATATTTTGTTACAAACAAAGAAGCAGTAAAAAAGCAAAGAAGTAAAAAGTTAATACAAGAGTAGCAGCAGGATGGCGCTGTGCCTATGCACGTCTGTCCTTTAGTATAGTTTATTTGTTTCTTACCCAACAATATTAAATGCAGTTAAATAAAGTTAAGCTATAGTTTTAACTCTAATTTAGTTTCTAGCAATACTGTGTATTTGGTTTGTAATAGTAGTAGTAGTAGTAGTAGTGGCGTTTGTTATTTTTGCTGTTTGCATATTTCTTGCTTTTTGTAGTACGCTCTGGCGCCGTTTTATGTATTCTGTTATTTTTAATTTTCGTCCGTTTTTCTTTGCTGGTATGGCTGTTGTAGTGTTTAAAAAAATGCTGGCTTATTTTTTATATTGTGGTTACTATTTGTTGGTTTTAGTTAGTAGTATTTTCAAAAACTAGTACTACCCCAAAGTAACTTATTCATTATATCTTCCGAAACCACTATACCAGAATGCTATTTGTATGCTGCTCTGCTGTCTGCCATTCTATTTATCAAATATTTGGTATATTTATTTTCGTTAGCCGGCAGTTGTTAACGCAGTTTTTTCTCTCCTGCTACTCACTTCTCTCGCTTGGTCACTTTCTTTTTTTCTTGTATCGATTTAGCTTAACTGTGTTTTTCGTATAAAGTATTTAATTTAGTATTTGATTTGAATTTGCTTTAGTAGAAATGCATAAACAAAAAATACAAAAAAACAAACAGTGCGTGCGTTGATAATATTTTTTATTTTTTTTCAAAATTTTTGCAGGAGGATGAAGGAGAGAAAAGCGATCAAGATTTAGTCGTAGATGTTGCAAATGAAATGGTGAGTTGAGTTTGTTGACCAAAAAAAAATAAAAAGAACAACATTGTCAATATCACAATTTAAGAAAAATATTAGTAAAGTAAACAAAATAAATAGCCCAAGTCCTTTCCCTACACCCGCATTCCGGCCACTTTACTACTTCCACATTATTCTTTTAAATCTTCATCTATGCTTATTTAGTCTTGATTATCAGTGTTAAGTTATGAACTTGTTTTTCTTGCGTCACAGGAATCCCACTCGCCACGTCCAAATGGCGAACACATGTCAATGGAAGCGCGCGATCGTGAAAGTCTGAACGGTGAACGTCTCGATAAGCCGGGCAGTAGTGGTGTCAAACCGCCAACAGACCGACCACCATCTCGTTCCGGCTCCAGCTCTTCGCGTTCAACTCCCAGCCTAAAAACTAAAGATGTGAGCTCTCAAGACTTTTTGCCCATCATTTAAATATTTTTCTAATTGCATATTAATTTTTGAAATTTCACCCTTCTACAGATGGACAAGCCAGGCACACCGGGCGCCAAGGCACGCACTCCCACCCCAAATGCTGCCGCACCAGCACCGGGCGTAAATCCCAAACAGCTGATGCCACAAGGCGGACCACCGCCAGCTGGTTACCCAGCCTCTCCATATCAGCGGCCTGCTGACCCCTATCAAAGACCACCATCCGATCCGGCATATGGTCGACCGCCACCACTACCCTACGATCCGCATGCGCACGTACGAACAAATGGCATTCCACATCCTCAAGCGTTAACTGGTGGAAAGCCGTAAGTCAACTCATTGCATACATTTTATTTTCAAAAAAGGAAAAAAGAAGAAAATTGCGTGCTGCCAAGAATATGAAAGCGAAACATCTCTCTTTATTTTTTGGACTTGTCATTCTGCAGAAATTTATATAATACATTTTGATGTTGTGACAATGCTAATGTATTAATTAGTTTTAATCTAAGCCTAAAATTTAATTTTTACTCTAAATTGCTCAGTAGCACGTTTTGCCGGTAAAGAAGTTTTACTTCAAAAATATACAAACTTACAATAGATTTAAAATTGTAATTAAATTTTACAATTCATTTCCCTTGCAGTGCTTATTCGTTCCACATGAACGGCGAAGGCAGCTTACAGCCAGTGCCGTTCCCNAAACTCATTGCATACATTTTATTTTCAAAAAAGGAAAAAAGAAGAAAATTGCGTGCTGCCAAGAATACGAAAGTGAAACATCTCTCTTTATTTTTTGGACTTGTCATTCTGCAGAAATTTATATAATACATTTTGATGTTGTAACAATGCTAATGTATTAATTAGTTTTAATCTAAGCCTAAAATTTAATTTTTACTCTAAATTGCTCAGTAGCACGTTTTGCCGGCAAAGAAGTTTTACTTCAAAAATATACAAACTTACAATAGATTTAAAATTGTAATTAAATTTTACAATTCATTTCCCTTGCAGTGCTTATTCGTTCCACATGAACGGCGAAGGCAGCTTACAGCCAGTGCCGTTCCCTTCAGACGCACTGGTCGGTGTCGGTATACCACGACACGCCCGACAAATCAACACTCTATCACACGGCGAAGTCGTGTGTGCCGTCACCATTTCGAATCCCACGAAGTACGTTTATACAGGTGGCAAAGGCTGCGTTAAAGTTTGGGACATCTCACAGCCGAACAATAAAAATCCAGTCAGTCAATTGGACTGTCTGCAACGTGACAATTATATACGCTCCGTTAAATTACTGCCCGATGGTCGCACGTTAATTGTGGGCGGCGAGGCGTCTAATCTCTCCATATGGGACTTGGCCAGTCCGACGCCACGCATTAAAGCCGAATTGACATCGGCAGCGCCGGCTTGTTATGCGCTCGCCATAAGTCCCGATTCGAAGGTGTGCTTCTCGTGCTGTAGCGATGGCAATATAGCCGTCTGGGATCTACACAATGAAATACTGGTGCGTCAATTCCAAGGACACACTGATGGCGCCTCATGCATCGACATCAGTCCGGATGGTTCACGTCTGTGGACTGGCGGACTAGATAATACGGTGCGTTCATGGGATTTGCGTGAGGGACGGCAATTGCAGCAACACGATTTCAGTTCTCAAATATTCTCGCTGGGCTATTGTCCGACAGGTAAATGACGAAGTAGCGATAGAATTGAGACATTGTTATACTCTAATCTAATTCAATAGGCGAATGGCTCGCTGTGGGTATGGAGAATTCGCATGTTGAAGTGTTGCACGCATCCAAACCAGACAAATATCAGCTGCATCTGCATGAAAGCTGTGTGCTCTCATTGCGTTTTGCAACCTGCGGCAAATGGTTCGTCTCCACTGGTAAGGATAATCTATTGAATGCCTGGCGAACACCTTATGGCGCTAGCATATTCCAGGTGAGTTCAGTTTTAATTTAGTACCCGAAATTATTNTATTTCGAATCCCACGAAGTACGTTTATACAGGTGGCAAAGGCTGCGTTAAAGTTTGGGACATCTCACAGCCAAACAATAAAAATCCAGTCAGTCAATTGGACTGTCTGCAACGTGACAATTATATACGCTCCGTTAAATTACTGCCCGATGGTCGCACGTTAATTGTGGGCGGCGAGGCGTCTAATCTCTCCATATGGGACTTGGCCAGTCCGACGCCACGCATTAAAGCCGAATTGACATCGGCAGCGCCGGCTTGTTATGCGCTCGCCATAAGTCCCGATTCGAAGGTGTGCTTCTCGTGCTGTAGCGATGGCAATATAGCCGTCTGGGATCTACACAATGAAATACTGGTGCGTCAATTCCAAGGACACACTGATGGCGCCTCATGCATCGACATCAGTCCGGATGGTTCACGTCTGTGGACTGGCGGACTAGATAATACGGTGCGTTCATGGGATTTGCGTGAGGGACGGCAATTGCAGCAACACGATTTCAGTTCTCAAATATTCTCGCTGGGCTATTGTCCGACAGGTAAATGACGAAGTGGCGATAGAATTGAGACATTATTATACTCTAATCTAATTCAATAGGCGAATGGCTCGCTGTGGGTATGGAGAATTCGCATGTTGAAGTGTTGCACGCATCCAAACCAGACAAATATCAGCTGCATCTGCATGAAAGCTGTGTGCTCTCATTGCGTTTTGCCACCTGCGGCAAATGGTTCGTCTCCACTGGCAAGGATAATCTATTGAATGCCTGGCGAACACCTTATGGTGCTAGCATATTCCAGGTGAGTTCAGTTTTAATTTAGTACCCGAAATTATTACAAACATTGACATGCATTTATGCTAAACAAACATGCCCTTTTTTCTTACTCACATCTACAGTCGAAAGAAACTTCATCCGTACTTAGCTGCGACATATCAACCGATGACAAATACATAGTGACGGGCTCCGGCGACAAAAAAGCAACGGTTTACGAAGTTATTTACTAATAAGTTTTCTTTTGTAAAAGTTTGCTATCATCTAAAGAAGAATAAGGAGAAAAAGAACGCAATGTTTTCTTATGTGCAAACATTTAAATATCCACACTGCTACATACATACACTAACACACACATATACATGCAAATGAGCCTACGCAAATAAGTTGCATAAAAAATGCAAAATGTGTGTGAGTGCAACGTGAATGCAAATGCCGTTGCGAAAGGGCAAAAGAACACAAAAATAATTCGCACTCTACATAGTGGCTTCGATAGGACTCGAGAGAAGCAAAGTCAGGCAAAATAAGAATAAGAAAAACAGAAAAAATCACTTGATTAGTAGGAGTACTAAAGCACAGGAAATTTCGGGCATAAAAAAATATATTGATATAATAAACGGACATACACATGGAGAGAGCATGGAGAGATGTAGCTGAACTTAAAGAGCAAACAGTGGTTTAAGCAAAGGAGGATAACAAAAGATAAAAGAAAACGAAGAAACACGAGTTATATTTGAAAATATATAATTATAAATAATAAAATAAACAAATTGTAGATTATAAGTAGCTGTAAGTAAACTAAAGTTAAAGAGACAAGAGAAAAACATAAAAATAAACGAAAAAACTAAGCATACAAACGCGCAGCAAGAGTAAAGCAGAAATTAAATTAAATATATTGAAAAGAAACAAAAAATATATAGCAACATCTTAGATTAAGCAGACGAAGAATAAAGAAGTATGAATGTAGCTGCCTGAAGAGTGCAGCTCCGAGAGCAGTTAAACTTATCTTGTTTGTAATGAGCTCGGCTTTTAAGTGAGCCACGTGGTGGAGGCGGAGTTAAGTAGAGATCAACGCTAGTGTCTAATCGAGCGCGCCGCCAACTAAGAAAAGGGCTACCCAAAATTTTTATACTATATTTACTTATTGCTGTTGCTCACAGTAGGGTGGCGTTGGCACACAGCTACTACAACGACCACTGCAATGAATGCCACTACCAATACAACAATAACAACAAAAGGAGCAATCAACTTGAAACATTTTATTATCACATATTTTATTGAAGTATGTATAATTATGCAAATTACTAAAGGAATGTTAAGAAAAAGCAACAAACAAACAAAAAAAAAACGAGAAACACAAACGAAAAATTATACATATGTATATTATTTTAAATTTCTTATGTTCAGGGATTTTAATTGCACTTTTATTGCCTATGTGTTTGGTTCTTGTAACAAAACATTTCTTTCACTCAGTTATGAGCTGCATGCGTTTAGATACATACATATCGTTACCTGAAATGCAAAAAGACCTAACAAACATCACCGTTGAAATGGAAAAAGTCGATAACTAATAAAAAGTTCCAAATTCCCTTTTTGATTTATATGATGGATTTCATCCAATTACAACTCCCCACATCATTTTCTAAAAAAAAAAAAAAATATTAGTCGAGACTTTTTCCATTTCTTTTACGATGTNTAAACATCACCGTTGAAATGGAAAAAGTCGATAACTAATAAAAAGTTCCAAATTCCCTTTTTGATTTATATGATGGATTTCATCGAATTACAACTCCCCACAACATTTTCTAAAAAAAAAAAAAATATTAGTCGAGACTTTTTCCATTTCTTTTACGATGTTGTTACGCCTTTTTGCATTTCAGGTGACGATATATATGCAGGTATTTTCTTATACATGGAACAACCTAATTTCCAACGGCACTTCGCTTTGTTACGTGTGCGGCCTGTTTGTAAAGAACGTTGACTTAATGCGGTCTGATTCAGCGCCCGAAACTCTTCGTTTGCTTCTTCGCAACATACTTTCATAGAAAATAGCCGGCGGCCATGCCAATCAGCAATTTACCTCATCGTTGCTCAGCCGCGTCATTATTTGATGTTTATTTAGTAACTGTAATTTTTCAGTTATGCATTTTTTATTTCAAATGGGTTTTCAAATGTCTTGCTTTGAAAAATCTAACATCTTACTTTTGCTACTATTCGAAATGGCCACAATCTCCTCCACTACAAATGTTTATATTTTTGTTTTCCTTTTTTGTGCTTAGAGTTTTTTTGTTGTATATTTTTGTATACATTTTTTCATTCCTTCGTATATAAACGCTTAATGACTAATGTTAATTACTTATTTTTTTTGCCCATTTTAAGGCGCATTGATATTTTATTTTACTTTTAGTTTTTATCGTATATTTTCTTGTGTAATATTAAGTGCGTACGATTGTGCATGATAAGAAAATTAATAAAAACAAGAAAGAACTTAAACTTTAAATTAATTAAATTTGTAGTTAAAAGTAAAACGTAATATACACAAATGAAATAAGTATGTACGTTTTATGCGCGTAGTAGTTGGAAGAAAAGAATTTAACAACAGATAGTGAAAATCAAATGCGGTTGTGGGGTGCGAAAATGAAAAAAATGATTGCAAAAATAAAGGATCCTAAGAATTTGATTTTGAACAAAACCTGTGTTAGCTATCGACGTACATGCATACATACAAATGTACACTCGCATCATCCCCGCCACGCTTAAACCGCTTGACATCTTCCCAATCACTCTCCATCACCTCCTTCCCACCATCACGCATACATTTCTTCAGCTGTTCGTTTTGCTCATAAATGTTTTTTTTTTGTAGTTTTTTTTTTTGTAGTTTTTTTTTTAGCTTATTGTTCTTCCTAGCTTCCATACATACATACATATTACACACACACACGCAAACGCATTGAAATATAAATAAATTTATATAAATATAAATACTTATATATAGTAATTAAAATTTGATTAATAAGAAATAAAGCTTATTCATTATGTAATTAAGTAACGCAATTACATTTGCACACAAAACAAGAAAAATAATGTAAAATCGGCGAGTGCGAAGCGTAAATTTAATTGAAATATATAATAAATAAAAAGGATATATATATAAATACATATATAAATAATTGACTAAACAAAATCCACACANAATGTAAAATCGGCGAGTGCGAAGCGTAAATTTAATTGAAATATATAATAAATAAAAAGGATATATATATATAAATACATATATAAATAATTGACTAAACAAAATCCACACACCTGCAGACATTTTGGTTTATAGTTGCTGAGCAACTCTTGGCGGCGAGATAATTTGCAGTGAGATCAGCGAGCCCTGAACATCGTATGGCTTTGGAAAAAATAAGTTCGTTCGTTTGATGTTCGTTCGTTTTGATAGTTTGACTAGTTGCAAGCATTAGCAACATGAAAATATGTTTCAGAAGAGTGTATTTTTCGTTTTTTTAGACATCATTTGATTACCGATGAAGTGCTGCAGTCCCGTGACTGTAACCAGAACAGTCCAACGGTAAAACACCCAGTTCTGCTTAATACATATTTTTTTACCTAAAAAATCAAATAGTGAACGATCGACATTTTGCTAGNAGACATCATTTGATTACCGATGAAGTGCTGCAGTCCCGTGACTGTAACCAGACCAGTCCCAACGGTAAAACACCCAGTTCTGCTTAATATATTTTTTTACCTAAAAAATCAAATAGTGAACGATCGACATTTTGCTAGATTGCAAAAGGCAACAAGATTACATAATACGTAGAAAAAAAATATTACTTTTCGATTTACCTTGGTGGCATGGTCCAGAGTCCACCTGAAAGATGAGCTGGTCCATGTGGCGAAAATGCGCATAAATTGCAGGGATCAGATTTTGCAGTAAGAGCTTCTGGTATTTAATTGTGTTTTTGTATTTCCATATATTTACATATCAGGCCAGGACCCAAATCGGGCATTCGATATCATACGTAAGTCGAACAAAACTTGATTTCGAGACGACGGCGTTTAAGAACGACAGTTCTTCGTCATTAAATTGTATTGGGAAGAAATCAACTGCCATCGACTCTAACCGAGCAATCAATCATTCGATCACGAATGCCGCGATACGATTCTTTGGAAAACACCATCAAATAATTCGACACCCCTTGCACAACGGTTTATCGGCGTTTCTGCGAACGTACAACATTACATAAACCCGAAAAGGTTAATTTCGGATATTCCCGAAAACACCATCGCGATTTTGTCGCATTTTAACTGTCAAATGTGACGTCTTGGTTGAACAACGGTTAGTCTGGCTTTTGCAAGCGGGGTCTGGTCTTGTTCGAGTTGCAATCACAACCGCAGTGTTGAGCGAATTATTAAAGTATCAGTGTGAATTTCTAGCAACGTGTTATCATTTGGGCAGTTGCAACAGTGTTGCAAATTTTCATCCGCTGCGGCAGTAATACCTCGGAACAGGCCCTCTTATTTCAACTCTTATTTCAACTCTTATTTGCTTGTTGAAGTTCACTCCTGTTGCCTTCAATTGTTTTGAATCGGTGCTAGATACTAATCCGTTTAATGCGGTGCTTATCATTACGAGTTGTTGTAAAAGTTTTGGCGAATACGAAATAACTTGCACTGCGCAGTTTCTGCAGCTTTTCAGTAGATGCCCGGCTGAGGATCAAGAAAGCAGCGTGGTTGCATCATTGCAGTAATTATGTAGCTCAAACACACCCTGAGCCACTCCGATAGCAACTAATAACAGTGGTCTTTTTCGTTATATAGAAGTGTTTTTACACTTCTCATTTTACTTACAGCCAGAATAATGAACCTACCTAATACATACCTACTTGTATAATACAATAGGAAATTTAAAGTCTCTACAACCATATGTGCTAATTTTTTTGTCCACCACTGTACCTGTGCTAAAAACTTTGGGTGTGTTCGAGCTACGTAATAATCACGGCAATATTGAAGCCTTGTTGCTGGTGCTCAACTGAAAATCTTCAGCCTCATTGCGGGAGTCGTGCCGAATGCAAGTCGTTTTTCGAGAGTCATTGCCTAAAATTTCCACCCGACTAGTGTATTAAAACGGAAGAACTTGGCAGCACTGCATAGTTTTCGACAATTTTCGTCGTTTACTTATTTCAGCACGACAGTAGACAATGCTAATGTTGTCGAGTCGTACAATGCAGCCTAATTTACGACTTACGCAATGAGTCTGCTTCTGAAATGCTGCAGATGTTGCGCAGTAAAAACTTTTATGTTGCTTTTGATGTGCCAATGATGAGCAACTCATTGTCAAAATTTTGTTCCTCGAACGCTTGATGCCGCCCAAATTTTCGCACAGAACTCGGATGCTTTTTCATAAAAAGTAACACTGCCGCATTAATGCAGCTTGAATGCACCCTGTTATTGCAGTCCCTTTGTTCAAAATTTTCGAGCATTTCGTATAGTTCTAAGGTTTATAAATGGCCGGCATCGAAAGAGTCGAAAATTTGATAATTTTGTGCAGAAAATTATGCAAAAATCTCAGCATATTTTATTCTTGCGAAAACAAGAATAGGGGCCCGAGGGTTTTTAAGTATATAGCGACAACTTTTTGGACACTTTTCTAGCTCAACACATATTTTTTAAGTAGTAACCATAACCATCAACTATACTGCAATTTGAAAATATTTCGAATGTAATTAATTTCAATATTTTTCGAACTAAGTACTTAATTGCAAAATCGCCTTCCCGATGCATCAGCAACTGGTATTCAAACGTGTGTGTACGCAGGCGTGTGTATGGGCAACACATTTACACATCGATTAAGTTGAGCGCATATGAATGAAAACATACATACAGTACATATTATGCATGTATAAGGCAAAAATCGAAAAAAATTTAATTACAACAAAACGTGTGAAAAGGCTAAATTAATTCAATAAATACATAGTTTATATTTAAAATATATAAAAAAAAGTATATATAGGATGTATAAGAATAAAAACTGTGTACTTTTATTAAGAAAATGAAAAATAAATAAATTTTACATTCGTAAAAAGCTATAAAAAATTAAAAAAAAAAATCGCAAGCATTGAAAGTATAGCGCATTATTGTTCCACTATAAACTGACACTGCTTTAATTATACACACTGTAATTTAACTTGAAATGAACGAACGCCCCAATCAGGTGCGTTATGCGATTATTATTAGGTTTTTTTTTGCAATGTTTTGTAAACTATTTTAAAGAATACAACAGCGCATATATATAGAGTAGACATACTATATATGAAGCAAGAAAGTCATATTGAAACAC